CTCACTGTCACAACAGGAAAAGAAATTCACAGAACTGAGCTGTTGTGAGTGGGGGCAAAATGGAGGAGTGTCGGGATCCTTGGGGGAGAGAGGATGTGTTGGAATTATGTGCACGAGAAGCCATCATCGACAGTACTGTCAATCACAGACTCTCCATCAATAAAAATGGAAAACAAAAAATAAATCAACTGCTGCCAGTCAGGACCTTAAGCAAAACTTGGGGAAAAAACTCTAAAAGCACCAGGTACGTATGTACACGTGTTTGTAGGTGGGTGGTTAGAGGATAAAGAAGAAAGCAGGAATCTCAGGATGCATTTCATTTTTAGAGTTCATGAGGAACACCTATGGACTTACAAAAAAAGTATCTTCTGAGAGAAATAATTTTTAAGCCAGTTAGTAATTCTTTTCAGCCAAAGTATCCTGGGTCATCTGAAATGATTTCTAATGCATTTCCCACAAAAGCCTGCCAACAATGATTGCGAAAGAAAATATAGTCAGAAATTTAGAAGAAAAAAGAAACACATGTTAATAACTGTGACACTACATGGTTTACTGTCTATGAGTTACCATATAGTTATGACAAAAAGTGGGGCAAATAAAATATATGTTCACATACATGATTCATATAAGTGCGTATGACTTATTCATTATTCCAATTCTTCATCTTATGAGCAGCTCCTTAGGACTGAACCCTTAGCAAACCTATGACTCATGATATATATAAAAAGAAAATCTATGGCATTTTAACTAAATCAGTATTTTGAGACTAGCAACTATTTTTATGAACTAGAGTACTGCCATCTAGACAAGTGTATCAGAGAGTCTCTAACATAAATATAGAGAAAGCAAAACAGTTCATGACCACAATTCATCTTAAATAAGATTATAGTGTAAAAATCAGGATTTGGAGATCAGGTAAGAGAATGATTCAGTGTACACGGCATTAGTATGAACACACTATAACTTTTTAAAAGCCCTCAATTTCTCACAGACAAGTTTAAGAAAGTTACTAATAATTAATCATATTAACATTTGTATAGCTCTTAGAAATTTCAAAGCAATTTAACACCTATTATTTCATTTTGCAAGTGCAACTAAGATAGTTTTCTGCAAAACAGAAATGCAATAGGTGTGTAGGAAGGAGAAAAGGTTATGCATTAGAGGCAGATGAATTTGTTCAACAAGTCAAAATATTGAATTCAATTACTGAAACAAAATAGCTTGGATTCTATACGCCTCTGATTGTCTGCCTTCTTGGGCAGAAAAAGGGCAAGCGTAATTTCCATGTATTTGCATCAATAGCAGTTCACGGTAAAGGAAACAAGACCCAAAACTTTATGAGGAAAAAATCTAATACACACTCTGAGAATTTGTCCCCCTTCCTACCATTAGTTCCTTCCCTCACACTGACTGGCTATATGTGGAGTCACGAAGGTAAGAGAGCAAAGGAAAATGAGATAATGGGTGTTGGCCAGCCTCTCAAACTCAGACCCGCTATTTCTCTCAAGGATGTCATCCTTCTTCGAGTTCTTGAGCAGCACGCTCTTGAATTTCAATTCTTTGCCTCTCTCAAAAGGTTCCTTTTCCTCCGGTTCTGGAATCTTCTCCAAAGTTCCTCCAGGAACACAGTTAACTCTCCTATGGGTCCCCACCTGCCCCCAATCCCCTCTACCCAGTTGAGCACCCTAAAGTTTTCTGTGGCTTCCTGAACACCAAATTCCATGCAAACGTTGTGACTGGCCGTGTGTGCTTCCCCAAACCCAACCGGCCTACTGCACTGGCCTAGCTTTGCTCCTTGGACCAGTGTGAGCCGCTGCCTTTCCCCTCGGACGCGCCAGCGGTTGACACAGTACTGCTCAGGGGGCATAACTCAACAGGCTTCTCATCAATGCCCAGCTTTGTGCCTCCTAGACTCCCAGCCTCTTCGTAGGGAAACCCACGCCGCCCACAGGGTCCTGCTGTCCCTTCTGAGAAAACCCGTCTGACTGCCCTGCACTTGCTAAGGCTTCTTCCTGGTATCAGGTCACCCTGCTGCCTCCTTTCCTCTAGTCAGCATAGGCACAGGTCCTGTCCCTTCTCGACAAGGCCCTTCAGAGCAGAGACTGGATATTCTCATTCCATCATCACCCAAGAGGCTAGCCCAGGGTCGTGTGTATTGGAGATATTGAAGTGAATTTCTGTGGAGAAAATGAAACTTTCTGAGGGAAAAAAAACACAACAAAACAGGGGCCACTCCCAGGGTTGGGGGGGATGGGGGGATTGTAGGAGGTGGACAAACAGGTTGGAGCTCAGGGTCTCACATAGGCTAGGTTTGTGGCTACCACTTGAGCCCACTCCTCGGCCCCGTCAAAGGGTATTTTTCCAAACGGGAAATGAGTGTAAAGTCAGGCGACATCATTCTTGGCTCAGATCTTTCAAAAAGAAGTCAGCTTAAAAAAAATCCTGTTACTTGCTCTTTAACAAGTGCCCGTGATCATCACTGCTTATTTGTTTTATGGTGCAGATGTGAATCCTAAGGTGACTGGGCAGACCCATCCTGCTCCCCTGGGTAGCAAAGCCCCCTCTGAACAGTGGATGATCCAGGCCAAGCAGGGGCAAGTCAGCCACTGGGTCAGTCTTCCCAGGTGGACCAATGGCCACAGCTTGGTTCCTGGCCTTGGCAGATGCCACACTGGCAGGTAGGGTAGAGTGAAGGGCACCCAGAGGATGACGCCTTCTGCCAAGGCTGCAGCAAATCAGTCAGAGACCCGGTGCCTGGAGGGCTGTGTGCAGCCAATTCCTCTCTCCCCGAAGGTGAGTATGCAGAAAGGGGGGGCATGCTCACTGGGACAGACGCCTACTTTCAGGGCTGAGCATGCGTGTGGGGGAGATGCAAAACATTGGGGGTGGTTTCTGCAGTCACTACTGGCTTTTCAACTGCAGAGATTTCATGACTGTTCGCATTCTAATTCGTGAATAACTCTCCTTGAAAGTTAGTGATTACCTTACATTGCATTTTAAGTATTCACAGGAGGAATACAGCTTACCTCATTAAAAAAATAAATGTGAGGAAGAGCCAAGCTTAAAAAAGAGGATCTGGATTCAGTTAAAAACCAGTTTCTGGGGGATATTATGTTCGAACATTAACTTTTGTTTTTTTTTTCTCCCTCACTACTGGAATTTCCAAGAGGGGCCTAGGTAGGCGTTTGGGGTAAGGAGCCTCGAGTCCTTTCATTTGAGTGGGGCCATAATACTTCTGGCCAGGAGTCTATAGGACCTCCTACCATCACCTGGCTAGGTACCTCCAGCTGTATCTGAGAGAAGGGTTGGGGGGAATGACGGTCTGCGAGAGGAAGAAGATGGCAAAGAAGAAGAGGCAGGTGGGAAGGAAGGAAACAGCAGCAGAATCAGGGGTGGGAGCTTACGACAGCAATGGGTGTGGTCTGAACCCATCAGAGGAAGGCAGGAAGCTGAAGGCTTTGCCCTCTGGGAGGTGTAAGTAGGAGAAAGCAGATACAGATAAAGTTGTGTTTCACATACAGGTTTGGTGGTAAAACACAGGATACCCAGTTAAATTTGGATTTCACAGAAACACTAAAACACTTTTCATTATCTGAAATTCAAATGTAAGTGGCATCTTCTATCCTGATTCAGTAAATCTGGCAACCCTAGAGCTAGGCAAGTTTCTACTTTGATTATAAATACATTGCTCCAGGATTTCTTTCACAGTCTCTTGAGATGCTCTAACTCTTCTCTGTTTGAGTGTTTGTCTCCCCCGAACAACCTCCTATACCTCTACTTCTCTCCTTTCTCTGCATCTTTTACTCATGCCTCTTGCTCTTACCAGTAAATACACAAACGCCCAGAGTCTCCTGAGCACTACGGCAGGTACAGAATGGCACGCAGAGTCATAAAGAATACAGCTGTGCATTTGTGCGTGCATGTTACATGCGTGCGCTGTACTAATCTTTAAAAATAATGATGATGTTAACAAAGCACCATGAAAAATACACTATGAGTTTTCCATTAGCTGGGGTTTAAATCTGCATCCACATCATTGCAAGTTATTTAGAGACCACAGGAGCAGAATTGGTTACTGAATAAAGTGAAAGAGAAACCCTTTAGAGTTTATTCAATAACCACTATCTATCAAAAGGTAAGAGTTGGAAATCCTTTACTTTAAATTGATCTGCATTGAAAAAAAATCTGAAAGCCTAGGCCACAGTTTTATCCATCTGAGTGTTCCCTTCACATCACTCAAGAGTCTCAATTTCCAGTTGCGGTACTGAGGAAGACAGCGAGAGGGAATGTAAACACGGACTTGATTACAGAGGCACTTTCAGTGTTGCTGCTATGCTTTAGCGTTACTCCACAACCAGAGAAGGAGCATGATCCCGAGTGAAAATCCACACACTGAGAACATTTTGTTATTCCCAGATTCTCATTAAATGAAAGCAAGCATTGAGTCCCGGACTTGTATGTTCACACAAGCTCATTTCCTCATTGTGGACTGGTAATAAAAACGTCAACAAACAATTGCCAGTTTGGGGGGAGGAGGAAGGAGGCATGTTTTGAGGGACAGTGATAGAGCAGACACCAGACCTTCAACAGAATGGCTGGGGCTGAAGCGATAGCACAGAGGGTAGGGCATATACCTTGCATGTGGCCAACCCAGGTTCAATCCCTGGTATCCCATATGGTCCCCAGAGCACTGACAGGTGTAATTGCTGAGTGAAAGCCAGGAATAAGCCCTGTGCATCGCCAGGTGTGACCCAAAAAGCCAAAAAAAAAAAAAATAGAATGGTACAAATACATCATCCCTTCAATATGATGGAAAAGAGGCCAGGCCTTCCTGTAGAATGGCACACAGAGATCTTTCCGGTCGCATCACAGACCAAAGATCCTCCTCTTTCCTAGAGAAAAAGGCACACCTATTTTCTCCATTCTAATCATCTAGTTTAGCTGTGGCTCCACCAAACAGGAAGCACCCCAAGTTTAGAAAGAACAGGAGGCATGCTTACTCTTCATGGCGTAAGTCATTGATGGTCCGGTCCAGGGAGATCATGTCACTGGCCACCATGTTGAACCCGAATTCTTTAATGCTGGCTTGAACGGCCGACTTGTATTCCGGCCCCAGTTCCAAAGGCTTGGCATGCTCCCCGGGACCCCCGACGACTCCTTGCGGCTCCGGTTCTTTGGGCTCGAAGTTCCCGAGGACCCCTGGGCGTAGCACGGGCTCCGGGTAGGTGACAGTCTGAGGCTTGAACGTGAGGTACTGCCTCTGCATGACGTCTCTCTGCTCATCTCCGCCAGCGTGACGCTCTTGCTCATTTCTGGCCTTGTTCTTCCTTCGGATCGACTCTAAGTCCACTTCTATCCCTTCGACATGAGGCCAGGGCACCACAGGCTTGAATCTGTCGTCCCCGGGAGCTAGAGCATTACCGCCTCGGTTAGGGACGGGGCCAGCGAAGCCTCTGTCTTCCTAGACAAGGGGAAGGGAACACACAGTGAGTACACAGAGGCAAAGCCCGGCAGTGTTGACGCTGCCCAATGTCACATTTCAGAAGAGGTGGGGGCAATAGCAAAATGGCTTCAGATGTGAAGCAAGCAAGCCAGGCATCAGGCATCCCGTTAGAAGATGGGGGAGGGGGAGGGCAAAGGGGACACAGGCTTACCAAGAAACAGACTTATTTATTATTATTATTATTTTTTAATGAATCACTGTGAAATACAGTTACAGACTTACATACTTTCTTGATTACATTTCGGTCATACAATGATTGAGTACCCATCCCTCCACCAGTGCGCATTCTCCACCACCAATGTTCCCAGTATCCTTCCCCCCACCTCCCGTCTCTCCCCCCGGCCCCCCTGCCCCGCCACCTCTGTGGCAGGCACATTCCCTTTTAATCTCTCTCTCCTTTTGGGTGTTATGCTTTGCAATACAGGTACTAAGCGGCCTTCATGTTCGGTCTATAGTCTACTTTCAGCAAGCATCTCCTATCCTGAGCGAGCCCTCCAAGCATCATTCACTTAGTGATCCCTTTTCTATCCCAGCTGCCTTTTCCCCCAGCATGTGAGGTTGGCTTCCAAACCAGGGAGTGATGCTCCTGGCTCTTATCTCTTGGGTGTTAGTCTCTCATCCTGTTACTTTATATTCCACAAATGAGTGCAGTCATCCTATTGTCTGTCCCTTTCTCTCTGACTCATTTCACTTAGCATGGTACTCTCCAGGTTGATCCACTTATATGCAAATTTCATGACTTCATCTTGAGAAACAGACTATTTACCTGCCATATCTATCCAAACAATAAGTTGACTACATTTTATTTTTTACTTCCCTCATTCTAAGTTTAACTCTGTCAAAGAAAGATCTTAATACAGCACAGCATGAGTTCTGGGCTAGAGAAATGAGGTTCTCAGGCTTCTGACTAGCAGATACACTTAGCAGGCTGCGGTGGGCAGTTGGCGGGCCTCCTGGTTGTCTGGTGTGTGATAAATAGAACTTTGCACCAGCAGTCCAGCCATATGGGGGCCGTGGCATCAGATGGCCTCCGCCACCAGCCTGGCTTCCTGCCCCGAGTGGCAGAGGACCAAGGGAAGGAAACACTCCACTGCCCAAATGGGATTTTCTGCTTGGGGATCAGTTTGCTCAATTCAGAACTCAAAAAAAATAATAATAATAAAATAAAATAAAATCAGGTCAAAGAAAAGCACTGATCACTGCAGCCAAGCCAGTGTATGTTTTTTTTTTTTCCTTTCGTTTGTTTGTTTTTGTTTGGGGCCACATCCGGCTGTGCTCAGGGCTCACTTCTGGCACTGCAGTCAGGAATTAACTCCTGGCAGTGCTCGAGGGACCATCTGGGAAGCTGGATCGGCAGCGTTAGCATAAACGCCCAACCCGTTGTACTGTAGCAACAGCCCCAAATCATTAGACTTTTCAACCGGATTCTGTAGGAAGGCTATTTGGGCCAAGCGGCCTTCCTTTCCTGCACGACCCTTTCCTCATCACGACATGGCTCTTTCACTCCAGAATCCAGGCGCTTTTGCTTTGGGGGTAAACCGTGTGAAGTCTGCAGCAGCCCCGTACCCATTCTTTGTACACCCGCAGCTTTTCTCCACATTAGCCTCAGCTCAGTGGCTTTAAAAAATACTGATGTCTGTGTCCCACCTCCAGACATTGTGATTTAATTGGTGTGGGCAGCCAGGGTTTTAGAAGCTTCCCAGGTGATTTTAATATGCATCCAAGCTTGAGAACTCCAAAGGGAGAGCCGCTAGCTATAATTAGACAAGGGGATTACAGAGTGTGCGCTGCTGGGGGAGAGGCGAGGTGAAATCAGAGCTAGTGCTAAACAGGCAAGCCATCTGCCCCCTCCCCCCAGGTGATGTGATTCCTGGGTAGGCTCAGAATAGGACTGATGCCATTTGGCCATAGGTAGGCTTTCAATGACCTTAGAGCTACCTCAGAAGGTTAAAAACTTTGTTTCATTGAGGATAGAAAGAAGTGGGCCCTAGGATTCTGTTGGTTTCCTTAGAGACAGCAATCTCTGTAAGGCATCCATCCATTTGAATGCAAACTTAGGTGAAGTTCTGAGAAAGGCTAGTGAAGCACTGCTTTGAGAGAATTGAAGATTTTTTTGAAAAAAATTCGTTTAGAAAGCATTTCTCTCTGTTTGTTTCCCATTAAGCATGTCTTCAATATCCAGAGGCTTCCAAAGAGCGTCTCGTGAAGCTGGCATTCCCGCCTTCCCTTCAGAGGAGCACTGAGAGCTATCAGGTTCCCATAAAACTTCACAGAGACATCCTGTGCACGCACACATATACCTGCACATTTACAGTGAGGTCATTGTTTTGAACATAGGACAGGAATTTTAATTAGCTCACGAATTAAAAGGGAAACCTTCTGATGTTAGAACTGCCTCAATCTTCTGATGTTATAACTGGCTCAAAGGTGATTCCAGAGAACAAGTATACAAGCATCAAAGCGGGTGCTGAGAGTTTGCAGAAAGATGCAAAACAAGCCAAACTGGTCAACACCCAGAATGCAATAACTACATTCTGCAGTGTGCGATTCTTATTTCAAAGGACGAGGATTTTCCACGTTACTATCAGGGGATCATTATTTACAGGATTGTAAAACAGCTCAAATGATGACAAAATGGGGAGATAACCTAGAAAGCTGAGTCAGATGACAGACCCAGTCATCTTTTTGATCCTCTTAAAGGTTTTCCCATATTTTTTCTTCCATAACACAAAAACTAAATATAAAATGCAACACTCTGCTTGGTTATGTAAGTGTGGTGCCTTCTTTCAGGCACGAGCTATAGATAGACAAAGCTTCCCAAACCAGGCTTCTGCCTGTCACCTAAAGAAAAGCAGGTTCCCAGCTGGAGCCCAACCCGTGAGCGATGCCAGCCGCCCTGCCAGTTCTACTGGATGTAAAGAGGACGCAGGCAGTCTTGCCAGGAATCCTGGATTCATAAAGAATGCAGGGTTTTCATGGGAATGAACTTATTCTAAGGAGAGGAGGCTGAGTGAGACTCTGTAACAGAAAGGCAGTCACCGCTGCACAGGGCCGATTCCGGTGATGAAAAGTGGGTCCTTTTCTGCTACTTAGCTCTTGGCTCGCTCTGAGATTATAGCCACTTATGGCAATGTCATAAATAAATAAAATAGACAAAGAGTTATGAGAGCCTGTAAGATACTGGGCCCAAGTTGATGATGCTGAACCACGGATCTCACACACACACACACACACACACGCGCGCGCGGGCGCGCGCACGCACTCATGAGAGAGAGAGAGAGTTCCTCCCACTTCAATTTTTCACATCAAAACTCCAGCAAACGGATAACAGGGGAGGTAAAAATGAGAGCAGAAAACAGCAATGGATACCTTAGAGTTGCATTGTATAGGTCATCAGCTACCAACCTTCATACTGCAGATACTCCGCTGTCTAATAATCCTTAGGAGGAACACAACATCCTCAAAGACAGAGATGACACCTAACTGTGAGATACCTAATTGTGAAACTCAGGGTTAAAGTTGTCCTATGCTCAGATGAGTACCCCTTAAATTCATCCACCTCGGCAAGAGAATAACAGATCCAAGCTTCACACTTATCTTCCTCTAAAAGATGTGATTTTGTTTGTTCGGGGGTTACTCTCGACTGTGCTCAGGGCTTACCCCTGGATCAGTACTCAGGGATTCCTTCTGGCTGGGCATGAGGGGACCATTATATGCTGCCAGAGATCAGTTGCAAGTGCCTTACGCACTGGACTATCTCTTCAGCTTCAAAAGTTGTAATCTTTACTCTGACTCCAGAGCTGTTTCATCTTTGGCACTGCTTGGTGTTCCTGACTACTCTCTCAGAAGCCTACTCATCATTCCACCCCGCTTCAGGGTTATCTCCCTCTGCCAAGAAAAGTGACCAGTTATTCTGATTCCTATTTATTCTGTCCACTTATTTCCTTAGTCCAAAACACACTTCCTGAGCTCTAGAACTTAAGAGTCAAATGCTTCCTGAACTTGTCCACCTCTGTCTCTCTGGAACCTACACTGGAGACAGCCTGGACTGGATTCACTTTCCACATCAGACCAGTTTCCCAGATTCTGTGCCCTGCGGCAGGGGCGGGCACTGCCATTCACTGCCCTGACCAAGTCCAGCCCCTGCACGACACATTCCACTTCCCGTTCTCTTTGATTGGAAGCCGGCCGCCAACTCCTGCCCTTTCTATCATCTCTAAGGCTTCTGAATCCCACTGCTTTCTCCTGCTCTCCCAGCCAGCCAGCCTCACCTCCAAAGAAAAAAAAAAAACTAAAATTCAAATGTAACTAGCATCTTCTATCCTGATTCCGTAAATTTGGCAGCCCTAGGACTAAGCAAGTTTCTACTTTGATTACAGATAAATTGCTCCAAGATTTCTTTCAGTCTCTTGAGATGCTCTAACTCTTCTCTGTTTGAGTGTTTGTCTCTCTCTCCAACAATGTCCTATACCTCTACTTTCTCTCCTTACTTTCTTTGCATCTTTTATTCATGCCTCTTGCTCTTACCAGTAAATATACAAATATCCAGAGTCTCCTGAGCAGCACTATGTCAGGTATAGAAAGGCACGCAGGGTCATTTAAAAAAAAAATGCAGCTGTGCTTCTCCTCTCTGGAAAGAAAGATGGCGGCCGCATGGGAGCCTGGTGGAGAGCAGGTCTGAGCCGGGGGTGGGGGCGCGATGGGTACCTCATGGGACGGGGGCGCTCCGGCCCGTCCCTCACGCCCGACCGAGGTCACCAGTTGCCCCCCACGAGCGGCTCTCCGGCACGGCCACGGCCCCAGAAGCAGAGAGACCAATCTCTTAATTATCTGACTCTCAGTAGAAATACTTGCAGGGTTAATAAATAAAATAGCAGAAATCCAAAACCGCGCGACATCATTTACTTCTTGAACCCAGCTTTGAACCCAGCTGTAGAAAGCAGATCATTTCACAATGC